TGACTTGCCCTTGGTGAATCCATGCTGACTGTCCCTGATCACTTTCGTCTCCTCTAAGTGCTTCAGAATTGATTCCTTGATGACCTGCTCCATGATTTTTCCAGGGACTGAGGTGAGGCTGACTGGCTTGTAGTTCCCAGGATCCTCCTCCTTCCCTTTTTTTAAAGATGGGCACTACATTAGCCTTTTTCCAGTCGTCCGGGACCTCCCCCGATCGCCATGAGTTTTCAAAGATAATGGCCAATTGCTCTGCAGTCACATCCGCCAACTCCTTTAGCACTCTCGCATGCAGATTTGGTGTGATTTGGCCATCCTGATTTCACTCCTGCATGCCCGAGCAATATTTTTATGCTCTTCCCTGGTCCTTTTTCCAATCTTCCACTTCTTGTAAGCTTCTTTTTTGTGTTTAAGATCAGCAAGGATTTCACTGTGAAGCCAAGCTGGTCTCCTGCCATATTTACTATTCTTTCTACACATCGGAATGGGTTGTCCCTGTAATCTCAATAAGGATTCTTTAAAATACAGCCAGCTCTCCTGGACTCCTTTTCCCCTCATGTTATTCTCCCAGGAGATCCTGCCCATCAGTTCCCTGAGGGAGTCAAAGTCTGCTTTTCTGAAGTCCAGGGTCCGTATTCTCCTGCTCTCCTTTCTTCCCTGTGTCAGGATCCTGAACTCGACCAGGATCAAGCAGAGCTCTGCCCCTAGTTGGTTCCTCCAGCACTTCCATCAGGAAATTGTCCCCAACGCTTTCCAAAAACTTCCTGGATTGTCTGTGCACCGCTGTATTGCTCTCCCAGCAGATATCAGGGTGATTGAAGTCTCCCATGAGAACCAGGGCCTGCGATCTCATAACTTCCGTGAGTTGCCGGAAGAAAGCACCTTCCACCTCATCCCCCTGGTCCGGTGGTCTATAGCAGACTTCTCCCACGACATCACCCTTGTTGCTCACACTTCTAAACTTAATCCAGAGACTCTCAGGTTTTTCTGCAGTTTCATACCAGAGCTCTGAGCAGTCATACTGCTCCCTTACATGCAATTCAACTCCCCCACCTTTTCTGCCCTGCCTGTCCTTCCTGAACAGTTTATATCCATCCATGACAGTACTCCAGTCATGTGAGTTATCCCACCAAGTCTCTGTTGTTCCAATCACATCATAATTCCTTGCCTGTGGCAGGACTTCCAGTTCTCCCTGCTTGTTTCCCAGGCTTCTCTTCTGCTGACGTGGAGGCCATCCAAGCTATACAGCACCCTAGTTAGTGATGTATTATGGCAATGAGTTCTAAAGACTGTGCATTGCGTGGGTTTTTTTTTTTAAAGTGCTCCCTCTTATCATTTTAAAACTTTCTCCCTGTTGGTTTCATGCCCCCCCTCCACCACCCCATATTGAATGAGAGTGAATGTTTACCTGCTCTGCCTTCTATATACCATCTATAATACATGCCATGATCATGTCCTCTTTTAGTCAATTTAATTTGTATTGGGCATGTTTATAGCTTGCTGTTACTCACTCATCAGATGTTTCTCTTGGATTTTATTAGTATGGATAAGTTTTATCTAAATGCATATATTTTATAAATGTGCTATTTTTGACATACCTATCCATAATATATCTTTAACTATATAGAATTTTTAACCCAAAAAAAAAAATCTTACTTATGAGCTTGGCTCATAGAGGTGAGTATGGCTAGAGCTTATCAAACATTGCCTGGTCTCTGCATGGCTTAACTACGGTTCATTGACAGCATAGTTATTTTCTGTAATGTAGTAATGGTCATATCCTGAGCAATTTTACAGTGTATGGTATTTTAAAAAAAAAAAAAAATCAGATATTTTGTACAAAATAGTTATCCCTTCACTTAATTCCTTTTTGAAGACCGTATACATTTTTTCCATCATGTATAATCATTTGTTCTCAGTTTCATTATGAGAGCTGTTGTCATTTTTTGTAGTCAAGGTTGTGTCTAGTTTTCCATTAAACCCAAAGTACACCTGCAGCTTCACCAGAACAAAATCAGTCTGCCTGAAAATTCACCTGCATAAACTTCTGCCTTGTGAGACTCCTTTTTTTAAAAAAGCTTAGGTGTAATTAGGGAAGGTGTTCATCATATGTTAGTTTGAATAATCAGAGCTTTACAAGCCTACAAGGAGTGTATGCTTGGATTCTTATGAGGGTTGCCTGCCCTTGACCCTAGTTGGAGGCTTCATCTTCCATATCGTGCTGGACTGTAAACAGTTTGGGGCAGTTACTGTTGTTTTATTGTGTGTGTGTGTGGAACACCTACTACAATAGGGTCCTTTCCCATATTGAGGCCCCCAGGCATTACAAATAATAAATAAAAATAGTCTATTTGGTGTCTTGATAGCTCCATCTTAGCCCTTCCTTTGTGCCTGCGTTCCCCTCCCTTAGTCTCTTGCTGGCTTCAAGAAGGAGAGGTCGGTATATGGTATTTTAGATCTTTGTCAGGGCCTGGGTGGTTATGGAGAAAGGTGTCTGCTAATCTATTCCGTCCTCCATCCTCTTCCCCCCCCCTTTTTTTTTTGGCAAGGTCCTACCCTACAAATAGCTCTAGTGCCTATCTGTTCTGCAGTTTACAGCATTCCCGAGCAGAAGAATGAAATTCACTTGATTCTTGAATTTCTTGCAGCCTGCAAAGTACTGAATAGCATTAGTGAAACTGACCAGTTTTGTAAACTTTACCATGCTGCTTAAAACATTGGAGCTGTCTGCTGTCTTGGGAAAGCAACACTGCATTGATCACATGGATTCACATTTGAAATGCTATCTTTTAAAATGGAAACTTAAATTCTGGAAGTATTGATTCAGGTCTCCTTAGTCCTCTGACTGGGAGTAAGAACGACCATACTGGGTCAGATCAAAGGTCCATCTAGCCCAGTATCCTGTCTTCCAACAGTGGCCAACGCCAGGTACCCCAGAGGGAATGAACAGAACCGGTAATCATCAAGTGATCCATTCTCTGCTGCCCATTCCCAGCTTCTGGCAAACAGGCTAGAGACGCCATCCCTGCCCATCCTGGCTAATAGTCATTGATGGACCTGTCCTCCATGAATTTATTTAGTTCTTTTTTGAACCCTATTATAGTCAATGTTTCCTAATGTCTCTTCAAGTGAAATTCTCAAGCTTTGTTCGCTATCCCACAGAACACTACAGGCCATATTGTAAACATTTAATCCAAACATTAATACCTGATCCTCATGTGTCTACATGGATCATAGGCCACATCTTTCAGATTGCTCTCTGAATGTAGTTCACAAGCAACCTTTCCTCAGTCCACTACCATACTCCACCCCATGATGTCCCCTTGTACCTGAAACAGGCTGGAAGGAGGGGTTTTAGGTATATCAACCTACAACAAAAGATTAAACTACTGTATTGTAAATTATATATGCAGTTGAAGGCCTTGGGAGTGGGGGGTTGTTTCTTTTTGTTTTTCATTCCCACTGTACTCCTGGGGGAATTCTGCACCTAAAAATTATGTGCACAATATTTTAAAATTCTGCATTTTTATTTGTCAAAATAACACAATATAATCATGCCATTTTCAATTATTTTGGTAATTTATTACAAAATATTGTCAGCAAGTATGTCTGTGACAATACAGATGAAAAAAAGATTCAGGAAATGTTTCTTGACAAATAGAGTCCTTACTAGGCATATTAACACAGAACTCTGAGTAATAATTTATTTAAATTACAAAACAAAAATGTATTTCCGGCACCCCCTCAGAAGTAGTGCAAAGGCTTGTGGGAGAGTCAGGGGTAACAGAGGAGCTGAGAAACAGGGAAATAATTGCTGGGAAGGAGCCTGAGAATGAACCGGAGGGTTGTTGGGGGTGGATTGGAGAAGTATGGAAGAGTTCTTTGGGACGGTGGCGCGGGGGAAGTGTTAGGGAATTGGAGAGCCTCCCCCATGCAGACCCTGGCTGACCCTAAGCCTCTCCCTTTCAGTCAGGCGCATCTGTCCCTGTCCCCTTTTGTCCCTTCATCCTCCTCCCTTTCAACTCCTGGCCCAAAGTTGTCAGCTACTTTGCCCCTACCCTAGTCTGTCATCCCCCTCCCCCCACCCCCAGCACTAGTCCTGAACCCCAGACTCTAGTCGTGGGGCCACGTGATCCAGCCCCAGTGACTACTGGCCCCAACCTCACCTCCCTCTGTCCCCACACACACATTGCCCCAGCCCCACTGTGTCCTTCAGGCCCAGTCCCTGGCTTCACAACTGCAGGGCTCTGGTCTCCAGACTTACCCCCCCTCACCCTCCCCATCACCTCTGGCTCCCAGCTGCCTCCATACCCACCTCCCCATCCAGGGCTTAATTTGTCCCCCAGCTTGCAAGGGCTGAGTAAGTCTGTTGTGAAAAGTGATATATGTATGTTTGTTAATATCACTTTTTACTGCCTCCCTGCTAGCTAGCAACTCTGCTGCTGTGAAAAGTAATATTAACAAAATACAAATATTACCTTTCACAGAAATACACTTACTAACTAGCAAGTCTTTAAAAAAAAAAAAAAAAACAGAAAAAAAGCAAGAGACGACGACAAAAAGGGACAAGAACATGCAAAACACATTATTTGTTTCAATTCTGTTTAAGTCCAGTAGGGAACAGAGAAAACTGTACATTATTTTTATTATTAAGTCTGTGAAAAAACCCTACATATATAAATTACAATGATATGGACATGTGTATGTGCATATTTATTTGTTTTTCCTTAAGTAATTGAGTATTTTAGGAAAAATTGTCAGAGCAGCCAACAGCACTAGTTGGTGGCCACACTCTGAGGCCATGAAAACATTTCTTGTGAGAACCTGTGCCCTAATGTAATTTAACTGGTTAACTGTAGATTTTTAACTGTGTGTGTGTGTGTATATATATATATATATATCTGTGTGTGTGTGTATAACTGAGCACACCAGTCTATTGGGCATTTAATCCACTGAGTTTTCTTGGCTGTTGTGGGTTTGTTTTTGTTTTGTTTTTTTAACAGGATGAAACAGGTGCCTATTTAATAGACAGAGACCCGACCTACTTTGGGCCAGTGCTGAACTATCTCAGACATGGAAAACTCGTTATTAACAAGGACCTAGCAGAGGAAGGTAGGACTTAAACCAAATCCCTTGTTTACTTTACTCTTTCGCAGTATTGTAATTGCTGTGAAAACCACAAAAGAGAAGTGGGCTTGCCTGTAGAAGGAAGGTCTTATTAAATCAATTTCCATTTTCATTTTTGAGTTACACTGCAGACAAATCTCTACAGCATTCTACCATGCCTCAGACAAAACTGAGTAGCATAAGACTGGTTAGTGCTGTCCATAGACCTGAGTTTGATTCTTGACCTTGCTCCATGAGCTGGAAACACTGTTAGGAGGCACGCATTCAGTCATGGTAATTAGGTGCCTTGTATCATTTAACGTTGACAGCCCTACCTCTTTCTTACAGTACTGATGGTCTTAAAAGAAAGACCCTTCCAGTATTCTTAAGGATAGCTGTGAAATGAGGTGTTGAAGATGTAAAGCAAGAAAAAACAAGTGAGGGCTGGGATCTTCTGAGATGCAGACTACACCAATTAGGGGACATACTTTCTGAATCCACTCCTTCATGGGCCCCAATTCATATCCATGTGATGGGGTGCAACCTGGACTGTGGCACCGCTGAGCCCTCTGTCCCCCCAACTTGAGGTATTCCTCTCACACTGATGCTGTGTCAAACCACAAACCTCTGATTGGCCCTGCAATTACACAGACATCCACAGGCAGGGGCACTCCCAACTGTGTTACATCAATGATCTCCCCGCCACTAATGTACCATCAATACGGAGGCTCCAGTCAATTCTCCCCAGTCTTGCACACCAGAACTGTATGGTTTTGCACTTGTCAGAAATAGTCACAAAAGTTAGAAAATGTATATCTTCTGTCTATCCCCAAGAGGGGGCCACTGCAGAATTATTCTGTCTCCCTTCTAGGAATTTGTCCCAGTCTAATGTTAAGTATCCTAAGCAATGGGATTCCCATCACCTCCTTTGAAAGACTATTCTACTTTTTATCCCATTACTTTTAATTACCTGATGATAGTATTTGCACTTGTCAGAAATTACGTCCTTGACCAACAGGGGCAATTCTAGGCTTCCCTGTAAATTTTCTGATATCATCCAGATTAACCATTTGTTTGTGCATTGATTGAATCTTATGTTGTTGAAACTAAATTGAGAGGAGATAGGAGGACTGAGAGATGATACAAAAGGGAACTAGAGAGGTTAGAAACATGAGTAGGAAACCAAATTTAAATTTAAAATTGGGAAAATATTGTGAAACACACACGCTCAATATGAGGCAGAAAGCAGGGAATGCTGAAAGTGAGAATGGACAGCACTCTGTACATGAGACTGCAATGTGGTGTTGGCAGCCAAGAAAAAAGGCCTCTGTGAGCAACGTTGGGGCATAAGACAATCTCTGACTAATGGCGGTTAGGAAGAAGCTTTTCCTGTGGCCTGGTTATTCCATAGCTGCCTTCTGCAGAATGTTTTGGACCTTTCTCTGAAGCAACTGGGACTGTTCACAGACTGAATTTAGATGAACCCTGGTCTGATCTGGAATGACATTTATTGTGTTTCTGTGTTTAAGGGATACTCTATTAGAAAATCAATTTTTTTTATTGGGCCATTTCTAAAAGTATGTGTGTCCCTTTAAAAACACTTCATTAATTGTGTTTGTACTTCGAGCCTAGAATAAGTTTCCTGAAATGGCCTTGTAAAGTTTTTCTGGGTTTGGTTCTAGGACAGTTCTTCAGAATGAACTAAACGATGAATTACATGTGAGTGAAGGAAGTCAGACCTATTCATCTTGTTCAAGCAGCTGCTCATGAGGCAAACTGTTTCCCATGTAATGAAAGAGATCCTCCAAGAAACTGGCTAGGAGTCCTTGGCTTGCACTCTTTGTTTACACTGTCTTTTCAAACATAATTGTTTCTTCTCATAGGTGTACTAGAAGAAGCTGAATTCTACAACATCACATCACTTATAAAATTGGTAAAGGACAAAATAAGAGAGAGAGACAGCAAAATCTCACAGGTGAGGCCATTTCCTAACGCACCTTCCTAATTCTGACATAAGAGTTCTCATTTGTCATACCCCTGCTGATGTTGAGTAGGTGCTTTTTTCACTCACCATTTCCCTAACAAGATTTGGGATTGTGGCTTCAGCTCTGCTGACTAAGGACAGAAAACTGAATGCTAGTGCCCTGCAGTACCCGGTGACCTGCATGATGCCAAAGGGCATGACCAAATGTTACCAAACTCTTGTTCATTAGAATGCTTTCAGATTTTGAGTAACTGAAAACATGACTGGATATTGGTGTGTGAGAAACCTGCTTGTCATGGTATTTAAACTCTGGAGGGATAGTTAGTGTAGAAGATACAGAGAGCTGTGACAGCAAATTCTCTCTGCTTTTGGATTTAATCTTTTACATATGAGGTGATGGGAGACCCTCTCCCTATGGGATAATTACTGTTTAAATTCTTATCCTGGGTAGGACTGGATAAGCACAATGACCAGAGCATTCTCATCTAATCTAAAATAATCTGCTTTCTATTAAAGGAAGAAGCCTTTGTGATTGAACCATATCCTAGTGGCTTCCCAAGAGAAGCAAGTATATTTTAAAGTGTGAGGCCACATCTACACTGCACTTTTGTTGGTAAAACTTTTGTCAGCCACGGGTATGAAAAAACACACCCCATGATTGACAAACATTTTACTGACAAAAAGTGCCAGTGTGGACAGTGCTTTGTTAGCGGGAGATGCTCTCCCGTCGACAAAGCTACTGCCGCTTGTTAGGGGTGGTTTTATTTTGCCAGCAGAAGAGCTCTCTCCTGCCAGCAGAGAGCAGCTAGACAGAAGACCTTACAGTGTCCCAGCTGTAGCAGCACAGCTGTTCCACTGGAAGATATGCAGTATAGACATAGTCTTAGACTGTCATTGAGCCAGAAGCTGATTAAAGGTTGAAACATAATTGATAAGTTCCTGTGTGACTGGTTCAGTCCCTATTTTTTGTAAGGGTGATGCTGAATACATTGTCACAAACCAAAGCTTTACATCTCTAACAGTTTATTTCCTTAAGCCACTCCTGTTAGAGTATGAACAGTTTCCCTTCTAATCCTTCCTTGCAGCCTATTCATTGCATCCTCTAGCTCCTGTCATATACTTCTGTAGCCGGGTTACCTTCCGCATCTTCAGCGCTGTGAATATTCAGGAAAGGATTCTAGTTTTTCTCAGATCAATCTATGACTCTTTCTTCATAAAAATGAACATGCAGTAAATGTGGCAGAGAAACTCTATTAAGTGGGGAAAATATGTTCAAGATTTGTTGTTAGTGTGATATATCCCTGGAGCTGGTATTAGGATATGCTCTGATAGCTGGGTTTCCTTGCAGCTAGTCAAAGAGCGGCAGGGTTCTTCTGTTGATGCACTCTTAGCTGGAACCCTTCAGGGAAATGCTGATAGATTCCTGCTGATTTGTTGCAGTAGATAAGGCCCTGCCCTGGATGTAAAGGTGGTAAGAGGGGCTCTCTGGGCAGAGAGGGTCTAGGATCTGGTTTGAACATTCCTTAGAGTGAAAGCCTAGGTGCAGATAGGCCTGGGGAGAAACCTTGGCCTCTATTATATTTTATTTATGTATTTAAAAACTAAACCTTGGGAAAAGGATGGGATATGATCCTGTACAGACAGTATGTATGTACTGTTTGGGGCAATGTGGAAAAGCCAGCTTCTCACAGCCTAGTATTAGGATTTTCCTAGGATTACAGCCAGATTTCCAGAGGGCTATGTCATACTCCTGGGGGAATTCTGTGCCAAAAAATTAAAAAGTCTGCGCACAATATTTTAAAATTCTGCAAATTTTATTTGTCAAAATAACACTACATAATCACACCAGTTTCAATTATTTTGGTAATTGATTTCAAAATACCTGTCAGCAAATATAGCTGTAACAGTACAAACACACACAAAAATTCCCCCAGGAGTACAGAGTTAAAGAAACCCCTATGACAACCCAGTTCCTGTTTCTCTACCCCCTCACCCTCCAGAGCCCAGCCTGGGGGCCAGACACTCACACCCTCTCCCACTCAGAGCCTAGCCATGGGCCCCACCCAGCCCAGGCACTCGCCCCCTCCCCTCCAGAGCCCAGCCACAGCCCCCCTCCCCCAGCTCAGGCACTCACATCCCTTCTCCCCCCCCACCCCCACCCCCGTCGGTCCCCCTCCTGCCAGTCCCCGGCCCAGACACTCTCACCCTTTACTCCCCAGAGGCCAGCTGCAGGGCTCCGCGCGGCTCAGACGCTCACACTCTCTGCCCTCCAGAGCCCAGGGATCCAAAGGGAGAAACAGCCTGATGCTGAGTCCTGGGCTTGCACGGAGATTTCTGCACGCCTCCACCTCCTTCCTTCAGGGTGTGCTGGGAACTCTCCAGTTCCTTCCCTCTTCTCCCCAGCCTTGTCTTCTACTTGTGAGCTGGGCTCTGCCGGGTCCAGCAACATCTCTGCAGCCCATTACTGGGGTGAGGGAGGAAATTCTGTACACACAAGATTAATTTCTGCAAAATTCTGCATTACACAGTGGTACAGTGTTCCCCCAGGAGTAGTTACTTTCAAAGGGGTATCATTCTGTAGGATACCCACTGATTTGTGTAGTGTCAGGAGTTTTAATGCCTGAAATGTTTCAAGTCTTAAGATTATTCTGAAAGGGTAATGAATGGACAGAATCTGAACAAGCAAAAGAAAAACAAGAAAATGCATCACTTCCAAAAAGTGTTCCTGTACGTACGTTATGTTGGGCCATGTAACTGGAATGCTGTTGGCTGGAGACTCTGGTCCCAGTTAAGAACTGAGAGGAAGAGCATTCCAAACACTTCATTAGATGCCAAAAGTACCAAACCCAGTGACTTAGCTAGAGCCTCCCACTGATCCTCTGATGTTCAGAATGTCTTTGTTGTTTAATATCTTTTTAAAGGAATGAGGAAATCCCAGCAATAGTATACACTGTTGAATACTCCATGCTGTATTGAGTGTCTGATGTTTCTTCCTTAAGGTGCCAGTCAAACACGTGTACAGGGTGCTGCAGTGTCAGGAGGAGGAGCTCACTCAAATGGTCTCCACTATGTCCGATGGCTGGAAATTTGAACAGGTAACAAGATAAACAGAGGACTTCATTGATTGTCCTGATATAAACTGCCGAGTCACGTTCATGATGAGAAATTTTAAAGTTTTATGTATTAGAAACTATTTTCTGTATACAGGCCTTAAACAAATTTAATGATTATTGAGAAGTGAATGGCTCAAGAGATTGGGAATGGAATTCATATTGACATCTGTGTGCCAATTTGTAACTGAAAATTAATGTTCTAGTTCTACAGTCATCTCAATCCAATTCTTGTCTATGTAGATATCTTCATCACACAGCTCTTATGAGTTTATACTGTGGTACAAAGGCTTCTGGTGAAAGGGATTAGATGTTTCTTGTGCCCTACAGATGGCCCTTCCAGAACAGGGCTGAGACACACTTGAGGGAACAATATGGGGGAACCTTTTAATGCAGCTGCCTTGGCAGTGTTAACTTCTATGGATAAAATGACAGCTTTGGAGACCAGAGTTCTAATACTGCACTTTTCATAAGTATTAAAACAATCTACCTAGTTAATCTGCTAAAAATTATTAGTACTGTACATTGTAGGAACAGTTCTGGACATCAAAATACCAGATAAGGTATGAGTCTGTTACTTGCTTTGAAATCTGAACTGCTTCTATGTTTGTACTAAGCACACTGTTAGCACCTAATAAATCAAAACAGTTGTGCAAAGGAATGCAGGTGAACTCCATGAATGTTTTCTGTTCTTGTTCTGCTTCGGACAAATAAGCTTAATTTGCACAGCCTACAAATAACTTTCTGTAGTGCACTTTAGATTCAGTAACACATTTTAAAGGTTGCAGTGACCTTTCTCTGAGGAAACTTGGCAATTAAGAAATTACCTGAGGAACCGCCTCACCCTGCAAGACGATAACTGGTCACTACATCTACCAGCAGCAGAGTAATGTAACTCAACCCCAGAGAGAGACTTGTGTGCTTAAGAAACCGCTTTCTTGGTGACTGGTCTACAGTTCTGGGAATTCGCTTCTGGAAGAGATCCAGATGACTACAAAGCTTAGTGCCATTTAAGTAAATGTAAAACCTACTTTAACTCAGCCTTCCCTCAATAACAATCATATTTAAAAAACAAAATGAGCCCTAAAAACAGTAGGAAGATGAGAGGGGACATTTTGTGTTCACTCCTAGAAATTTGCAAGGTGTTCAGATCACCCAGTTTGGTGGCCATGGTGAAAGAAATCTAGGTGCACAGATGACTTCTCATTATTCAGTTCTCCAGTTCAAGTGATAAGGATCCTCTCTGCAGCCCAGATATTGACGATATCTGTTTTGGGCAGATTCCTGAGAATACCTGCTAGATTTCGCTTGATCCATGTGACAATTGAATGAGTTCCCTGGACGTTCTTCTTTGTAGGAAGTTGGTTTCTGGTTTCTTGCAGAAAGAGTTTTTCCTATTTGAAGGAGACGAGGATATTAGAGCTTCCACTTTACCTGCCCATTCTTTGGGACTAGTATGCTTGAACGCTGGGGAACTTTGCAGTTACGTAGTCAAAGAATTAATATTGCTTTCCGAATTAGGCGTTCTTTGGGAAATGCTGTTGGTTTTAAATTTTTTGCTTTTTTAATTCATTTTTTCTCTTCTCCACGAATCTCTGTTTTGGATGTATGGTTTAAGGTTGATTGACACAACAGGTGTGCAATCTGTCATCCAGTTTCCCACCAGCACATAGTTGGCCCCTGGCAGGATTCTCTGTTGTTTGCATTGCAGATTTTCTGTTAGCAGATACCCTCCAGTTGCAGTGTGATTCTAACATTCTCTGAGTCTCCCTTTGAGCTTTTTTATCTCCAAGAGGGAATGCAGTGGTGACAGTGTGATCTTTTTCTGAGAAATCCCTTTGCCCCTTCAGTGCAATCTCTCTCTCCTCTGAGATGGTACCCAGCCCAATATGGAGTATGCCCTGTGGTGTATAGTAAAAACCATGCACAGTTAGTTATCTACTTCTCCAGGGCCATACTCTTCCTGTGGGTTGACATCTCAGCTAGCCCTGCACCTGGCTTAACATGGTTTAAAGGGCTGTACTTGATCAATAGGTCAAAGATGTTTCCTCTTCACTTAACATGCTTGAAAAGGTATCTTAAAATAACATCCTAATGGTGATAATCGAAGGGGGAGAGAGAATGATCAGACTTCTGGGCCTGTTGCAGGGTCTGGTGGATCTAAAGAAGCTCATCAGCTATTGAGCGAAAGCAGTGTTAGCAAACCACATTTCTACATTAGTTCACATTCCACAAACTACCTCTAGGAATTGTTTTCCAGTAAAGTACTTGGAAATATCTGTTGGTGCATTTCTTTGTGACCTGTCCTTTGATGGAGATTCATTCTCCATGCTGAAATTTTTATCCATCAGACAAGCTGTGAATTTGTCCCAGTCTGTTGGGTTTTAAAAGATCTCTCTGAATGTTGAGTTTTTCTTGTGACTTGTACTACTGAAGGATCAGTTTCTTTAAAAGTGAAATACACATATTAATTAACTTCCAACCCTTTCTCTCGCAAGGAAATAATGTGGTTTTGTACTGCTGAATTACCATACTGTTTCTTTAAACATACCAGTGGAGAGAATGATTTGGAGAGAATGATTTAATTACCACCTCTGGAAGAACACAGAAACCAAATATTTATCATCCAGTGCAAAATGAGAAACTTGATAAATAATTTTGCATTATCCATACCCTTTCTGTTTAAACTGTGTCCATCATACAAATTAGCAATGAATATAGTCTGAAATCTGGTCCAACAATGCCTTCTTAAGTAGAGTGATTATACAAAGTCAGTACTTAACTGTTGCCCTCAAAATTATTCACATAATATGAACTGTAAATTACATCCTCTATCATTGCTTTGGACCAGCACCTCTCATTGGTATTATCTTAAATGAGTATGTAATCTGAATAGTCAGCTGCTTGTCCCACAGTAGCTTGTATATCTAGCTCTTCAAATTTAATCTAAAGCCATAATCCTTGTCAGGTGCACTGGCATGCATATGCTTTCGCGTGGATTAGGTGTTGAACATAATTAGAACATTATGAAGACAATTCATCCAACGAGAACCTACAAAATTTAACTGAAAACATCCTGAACTTTAGCATTATTAAATTCTTGCTATGTATGGGCCTAGTATTTTGAGAGACTTAATGGAAGCAAGCTTGGCCCCACTGTGTAAGAGAGTTCCTTCTAGGTGCTTTGTAAAATTAACCTTTTAAAAATTGACTCATATTCTTATATATATATACTCTCTTTCCTTTTAACTTATTTTATATATTTCCTCGGGAATATATATTGGGTTACCAATGCTGTTCCCTTGTAATAAGAAGAATTTCTCCCATAACTTTTCCATCCCCTGATCCAGTAAGTATTTACTGACTTATTACAATCAGACTTTGATAAGAAATTGGCATTTGCCTTCAAATCGTAACTGGCTTTGTAACCATCTGCAAGAATTTTAAATATATTAGATAGGATTCTTTTCTGGGGAATACAAAAAACTGTAGCTTTCATTTTTACACAGTAGAAATAATTACACTCTGTTTGAGTAGCAAGTGAATACACAGGAGCCAATCTGTTGTTTGTACAGTTCAGATGATAGTTATATGCTCCAGCATTACAAAGGTTTTGTTTTGTTTTTTGCTCTGATTGATTGTTGCAGCTTGTCAGTATAGGTTCCCCGTATGGCTATGGCCGGGTCCAGCAGTCAGAGTTTCTGCTGATAGTGTCACGGGAAGTGAAAGGGGAGGAGAGACGCTTCCAGAAATGCTGCAGTGAGGTGTGTCATACCATTCCTTTCACCCTCACACCAATATGCATGGCCACCTTGCATTTCTGCTGCTTTCAGATCATTCTGCTTTCTTCCTGGGTGTGCAGCACTTGGTAGTTCTGTGTGTGTAGTTGTGGTGACTAGCTTTTATTGTATACTCATGACACTTCATTACACATTATAAATGTTCATCTTGTAAAAAGCTGTAAATACTGCTTAACTGTCCAGACTTCTGATTCAGAGAATTTTCTTGGCAAACATTTTAGGGACAGATATCACTTAGATTTTCTTCTCTTCCTCCAAGTTAACAGCCCCTCTCCTGTAATTGCATTTTTATATATTTAGGTCAAAGAATCATGTAAACTTTGAACACCATGAACTCTATCAGAACACAGTTTCATTAAAGTGTTCGCAGGGACACTTTTATGTTGATTTGTTCTTAGTCTTCCAGCTTGAATTTATCACCCATGAAATAACCAGCTGAGTTTTGACTCGAGAACCTCATATTGGTGGTTGATATACAAACCAGAAAAAATATTGCTTGTTTTTCAAGTGAGTAGATAAGCATTCAGTGCCAGGAGCTGGAAATGTCTTTTTTTATGTTGATGATTTTATATATGTGTGTATATGTATATATAGTCTACATAGAATATCAGGGTTGGAAGGGACCTCGGGAGGTCATCTAGTCCAACCCCCTGCTCAAATTAGGACCAATCCCCAATTTTTGCCCCAGATCCCTAAATGGCCCCCTCAGGGATTGAACTCACAACCCTGGGTTTAGCAGGCCAATGGTCAAACCACTGAGCTATCTGCCCCCCCTCGCTGCCCCCCGATGTATTAGATGGAGATAATACAGAATAATAATCAATAATTTCACTCTTCTAAATTCCCTCTGCTTTTCTTTATGCAAAACACATCCCCCCAGAATGTAGCTTCATTTTACAACATTTCCTCACAAGTAAGCAGTTGAGAAGGGTTTGGTTCTTTACCCTAGTACACAACCATTCATTGCTAATTATGCTACAATGTAACTGTTTTTAGGTAAAAATGACAAACTACTTCATTTGCTATGACCAGAACCTTGCATATCAGATTACATGGCTGCATAAATTGCCACACAATTTCAGGTAATTTTGAAATTGCCATATAACTGGGCTCTTAAGTCTAGGCCTTGAGTTTGTAAAGATAACCCTCAGAATTTGAAATGAATGTAAACTAATGCATTGGTGT